GAGAGTAGAATGGTGGTTGCCAGGGATCTGGGGGGAGCAGGGGTGACATGGAGGAGACACTGGGGACAAGTCACCTGGGATGAGTACGTTCTGGAGATCTAGCATACAGCAACGTATCACTGATACCATTATAGAGTTGAAATTTGGTAGGAGACTAGATCGTAAACATAATCACTACACACACACACACACAAGGCAATTATGTGAGGTGCTGGGTACATTCATTGGCTTGATTGTGGTTCATTGGCTTGATTGATCATTTCACAATAACCTATATCAAAACAAACATGTTGTTTACCTTAAATAGATACTATCTTTATTTGTCAATGATATCTCAGTGAAATTGTGGGGGGACAAAACAATAAGAAAACAATCAACCCAATTAAGAAATGGGCAAAAAACCTGAACAGACACCCCACCAAAGAAGATCTACAGAGGGCAGATAAGTACACGAAAAGATTCTCCACACTTTACGTCGTCGGGGAAATGAAGTAGGGATCTCAGTGAGATACCACCACACACCTACGAGAACACCCAAAGTCCCAAACACTGACAACGGCCAATGCTGGCGAGGGTGTGGAGCAAAGGGAGCTTTCATTTGTTGCTGGTGGGGATGCAAAATTGTCCAGCCACTCTGGGAGGTTAGTGGTGTCTTACAAAACTAAACCTATTCTTACCATATGACCCAGCAATGGCATCCCTTGGTATATTTACCCAAAAGAGTTGAAAATTTATGTTCACCCAAAAATCTGCATAGAGGGTTATCAGCTTAATTCATGATCACCAAAATTTGGAAGCCACCAAGATGTCTTTCGGTTGGTGAATGGATAAATGAGCCATGGAACATCCAGACAGTGGGAGATTACTCAGCGCTACAAAGAAATGAACCATCTAGTATCCAAAATCTATAAAGAACTTACCAAACTCAACACCCAAAGAACAAATAATTCAATCAAGAAATGGGCAAAAGACATGAACGGACATTTCTGCAAAAAAGACATCCAAATGGCCAACAGACACATGAAAAAGTGCTCAACATCACTCGGCGTCAGGGAAATATAAGTCAAAACCTCAATGAGGGCGCCTGGGTGGCTCAGTTGGTTAAGCATCTTATAAAAGATGCAAATCTTCTCTTCCTTGAAGAGTTGGCAAAACTCACTCATCTGAAAAACCACCTGGGAAGGTGCCTTGTATGGGAAATAGATCTTTGCCCATCATTTCAGTATTTCCGAAGATGATTCACTTTTTTGTGGCTTCGTTTTGATTTTGATATTTATTATCTCAGGTTCTTTCTATTTTATCATTTCATGTATTTAGTGACATAAAGTTGTACATACGTGGTATATACCCATGCTTTAAAATGTGTCCCCTGCAAAAGGAGTTGGTCTCCCGTCACCTCTACCCCTGTTTATTTGTATCTATGGTCTTTCTGCCAAAAAGGTCTGCCTCTTTCTATGGGTGTTTCCAAAGATCCAGCTTTTTATATTATTTTGTGTTGGTTGCTGCTGTAGTTCCCCATTTATTAATCTGATTTTCTTTTTTTAAAAAAGATTTATTTATTTTAGGGAGAGAGAGAGAGCTTGTGAGTGGGAGGAGGGGCAGAGGGAGAGGGAGAAGCAGACTCCTCGCTGAGCAGGGAGCCCTACGCGGGGCTCAATCCCGGGACCCCCGGATCATGACCTGAGCCAAAACCAAGAGTCAGAGGCTTAACTGACTGAGCCACCCAGGTGCCCCTAATTTCTGATTTTCTTAATATTTTCCCTAGAATTTCCTTGGGTTGGTCTTTTTTTTGTGGATGATTGAGGTGAAATCTTACCTAGTTTATTTTCAGTTATTTTCCTCATAACTTTATATAAAGGCTATGTATTTCCCTCTGAGTCCTTCTTTGGCTGCTTATTCCATTTATATTGTGATCTCCCTCCCCCCATAAATGCATTTTAGACTTTAAATTGACCTCGGAGTACATTTTTGCTTTTCATTTGCAATGGGCTCATCATCCAGCCCTAAGTATCTTGTACTTTAGGTATGATTTACCTTTCACGCCTATTTAAATTCTCCCGACTCCATGGACTTGAGGAACTACGGATCAACACTGATTCATAATTTTAATTGCGTTGGGGCTAGTGTGTGGAGTCTGAATGTTGTGCTCGCCTTTATGGCCCCACACAGGGTCTGGTTTTGTGATGGCTCCAAGTGTTTGGACACAATGTACATTCCTTGTTTGTTGGGTACACAGTCCTGTACGTATGGATCTGGTCCCGTTTGCCCTTGCGTTAATCCTCTCGAGATCCTGATTGTTTCGTCAGCTTGATCTTTGCATTCCTGAGTTAGGTTCCGTCCCCTGTATTGCTGTGGTTTGAGCTATTTCTTTCTCAGGGATGTTTTTGCTTTAAACAGTTTAAGGTGGTGGTGTTTCGGACACAGTGTGTATCGCCCTCCCACCCCACCTCACCCCCCGGCCCCAGAGCCCTAGAACGCTTTGGCCCCTTGGTGATGGGCTTGGTGATGGCTCTGCTCTAGGCTCTGTCCCTTCCAGCCTGGGGCTGCTCTGTGTGGGTGAGGGTGGCCATGGGCAGTTGGGAAATGGGCAAACTCGGCTCCGTGTCCTGTTTCCACCACTTACTGTCTGTGTGATCCTGGGTGAGGGACCTGAATTGTTTGAGCCTCAGTTTCCTTATCTGTCCACCGGTGCATTGTTGGATTAAATTAGACTCCATGAGCCGAGCATACAGTAAGTGCTCAATGAACGGGGGTGGATGCTATGGTATCCTGTGGTAAGGGCCAAGGCGACTGGAGATGCCATCTCGGTGATCATGTCTGTGGGTTGAGGCAATTCCCTAAGGTCCTCAGTTTCCCAGAAGTCTTCAGATCAATCCCTACCCACTGTCACCTACCACCAATCATAAGCATGAGCATCTCAAGGGCTGAGCCCCAAAGCTGAGGGTCAGACACATTAACTTTCCCTGAAGATCCTCCTTGTCCAGTTTCCAGTTAGCAGGGGAAGGTAGACCCTATTTAGATGCTTCTGCTTCAATGGCTCGGGAGACCAAGGAAGGGAAAAAAGAGATTCTTCCTTAGAGGGGTTTTGAGGGCTGGGTTCTTTGGGGGCAGAGCAGTCTTGGTCAAGTAAGACCTGCATGATTCAGGTAAGACCAGGTTTGGGTTAGAATCTGACTGTTCTGGGGGCACCTGGGTGGCTCAGTTGGTTAAGCATCTGCCTTTGGCTCAGGTCATGATCCTGGGGTCCTGGTATCAAGCCCTGTGTCGGGCTCCCTGCTCAGTGGGGAGTCTGCTTCTCCCTCTCCCTTTGCCCTCCCCCACTCGTGTTCTCTTGCTCGCTCACTCTCTCAAATGAATAAAAATCTTTAAAAAAAAAAATAATAACCTGACAGTCCTGTCCCTTTTGTTCCACAATCTGTTACTAAAAAGATCCCTCCTCCCTACTTGTCAAGAGCTCAGGAGCTGCTCAGTGTCCCATGTGCTTCTTAATCTTTCTTCCTTTAAGGTCTGTCCTCCCCCCTCCCCCCTCCTGCAGTGGGACAGGGACACCTCCCACACCACCTCCATCACCCCCACCCCCAGCTCCTCTGCTTCTCCTCGGCTCCCCCGATACACTTCACAATTAAAAAAAAAAAAAAGCTTATCTGTAATTAATTCTCACCTTCCTGGTTACTCTCGTTTCTTGATTGTACTTAACCGATGATTTATCTACTTCTGGTGTTTTCAAAAAGTTTTTTGTTTTGTTAATACAAAAGAATAACCTCAAAACTGTCCAGAGTTAGATCCAACTTTTATTTTTTTTTTATTTAGATTTATTCTGTTCTTCTCTAGTTAACTGAATTGAAAGCCTAGTTCATTTATTTCTTAAGCTCACTTATTTTTCAGAATTCCTTGTTTTCAGCGTGTTCGAGGCTGTACACGTTTCTCTGGGTACCCCTCTGTCCGCGTCCCACAGATTTCACGATGTAACATACTCACTGAATCAATCGCTCAGTTTCAAAGGCTTTGTAATTTTTATGTTGATTCCTTCTTTAACCTTTGCCTTATTTAGGAAAAGTGCTCTAAAATTTCCCACCATAGGCCCTTCTTGGGGAGGGCTAACTTTTTATCACAGAATCTACTCCTTGGGGCCAAGGTCTGGTTATCTTATCTACTGTTGGTTTCTTGGGATTTGTGGAGATCGCCACTGCGGATCTGTAGAAATGTTTCCTGTTTGAGAACTCTGGGGGTAGGGGATATAGAATTTGATCAATCTATTTAACTAAGCTTATTCGTGGCACCTTTTATATATACTTTCTGCCTCCTGGATCTGATGGTTTCTCAAATGGGTGGCCCCACCCTTCCTAAGTGGGGCCCCTGGCCTCACTAAGACCTCCCCCTCTTGTCCCTGGAGCTTCTCTGTGACTGTGGGAGGGACTGCTCAACCCCTATCTAGCACCTGGGTCGGAGCAGGAAGAGACTCGGCTCCCCCTTCGTGCCCCAGCATCTGACTGGCTCGGCGTCTGGATCCACTCACCGGGTGACCTCCAGCTTGGGAAGAATAGCGGCTCCAACCCCGTGCTTCCCTCTGTGGACTCCGCTCCATCACCGACCCCCTTGGCCATGGAGGAGACTGACGAGGGCGTGAATCCCAGCCCCGCTTCAAACCCACTGTGTGACTCCATGGTGGCCGCCCCTCTGAGCTTTGGGTTCCTTACCTGTAGCTTGGGCTGATGACTCCCACACCTCAGAGAGGTGGCCCACAGCAGATGGCCAGCCACGGTCACAATTATCACTGAGGACATGAGGCGGCCCCTGGAGGACCAGAGCCTCGGTTCTGGGCTCCAATCCCACTATGGCCCCTCAGGCCCTGTGTGATCTCGGACAAGCAACACCACCTCTCTGGGCCACTTTCCTTACCAGACTGTGTACACGACGGAACGAGAACGCACGAGCCCTGTAGGCGCCCGCCCGCCCTCCCCAGGGATGGACGGGGGCATGACAAATACTCCACCACCGGCCGGGGTCAGACGATCTTCCTTTAATACAAAGTCGATATATCTACATACGCAGAGGTGGGAAAACCACCCAGCTGCTTCCGTTTGAATGAACAGTGTTGAAAGCAAACGGCAGATCTGTTCTTGTACAAAGAGAAAAACTCACTTGCTCAGGGGTGGGGGGGGAATCCCATCCTTCTGCTTCTGCCCCAAAACTGTCCCATACTCCCAGGGGGAAAGGGTCCCTGATCCGAGCAGAACATGGCCTCTCTCTCCCGGAAGAAGCGGGACCCCCTGTTTTGTTCAGTCCTCCTCCTCGGGGGCGGGAGATTGGGGGGAGTTCAGGCGGCGGGGTTCGGGGTGGGGGTCACTGCCCTCTCCTCGGCGGTAGCACCCACACCAGTGGGTTTTTGAACCTGACGCTGGTGGGCCGGAGCCCCCTGTCCCCCCACCCCCACCGCCCCACCCTCAGACCGGTCCTTGATATGTTTCAGAATTAAAAAAGGAAAAAAAAAAAAAAAAGAAAAATGCAAAAAAAAAGGGAAGAAGCCAGGAGCACAAGGGCCTCCGGTTCTTGAGCGAGGCACACCTTCCGAGGACGGCGGCGGGAGGAAGCCAGGCCGCCCGGGGCGGGTCGCGGGCCCGCGCACCTGCCAACGCAACCGCCTCGCGAGAGCGTTCTCTGCGGTGAAAAAATAGACTTGTCTGTGAACGGAACAGGAATAAGCAAAGTTCTTTTTAAATTTGTTGACTGGCGAGTCTTTTTTTTTTTTTTTTCCTTTTTCGGTTTGTTTCTTCTTTAAAAAAAAAATGAAAAAAAATACACTATTTAAAAAAAGAAATGTCACTGGATACAGTTACACAGAGTCTGAAAAGAAAGCTGAATTTTGCACCCCCGGCCCGGCGGTGTCCCGCAAGCTGCAGACCAGGAGGGCCCCCCCGGGGGGAGGCGGGGAGGACTGGGGCTCAAGCGCACGGCCCTGCCCTCCTCTGGTTCCGGGGAGAAGCCCTGTTTGCTCACTGCCCCCCCCCCCCAGGAATCTCTCGTTTGGAATTGGAAGGAAATGAGGAATGTGCCAAGTTTCGGAAGGCGGCGGCCGGTGCCAAGGAGGCTGCTGGGCCCTGCACGGGGGGCTCGGGGGGCCGCATTGCTCCTGGAGGCCGTGCAGACATGTGGCCGCTCCCTCCTCCCGCCCTGGCCGGGGGTCCAGGTCTCCGGGGGCCCACCCGGCAGGGGCAGAGGCATCCGGGGCCGGTGGAGTCTGGCCGGCGGCGACCATGGCTTTAGGTTGCATAGTGGTCAAAGCTCCCGAGGTACTCGAGCCCTGCCTGGTAACAGAACTGGTACTCGTCCTGCGGGAGGGAGGGGGCGGGGGCTCGGTCAGGGCCTCCGTGCCCTGTGGCCTCCCAGGGCCCCCCATCGCCCTCAGGAGCCGGCCCGCTGCCTGGTTCTTACACATAGGCTGGGCTCTGGCCCCGGAACGGCCTCCCCTCTACCTGCCTGGAAGCCCCCTCCCCCTGCAGCAGGGCCCTCAGGGCTGGGGGTCCGACTCCAGCTTTGCCTCCCCAGGGACGGAAAGGGAGAGCCTTGAGGACACTTGGAATGCCCACCACGTGATCCCAGGGAAGTCCCTTCTAGCTCTGGGCCTCACTTTCCCCATCTGGGGGCGGGGTGGATTTCCGGAACTCTGGCCCGTGTCAGGGTCCTGGCTGAGCCACGAACTTGCTGTGGACTTTGGAACTGGGACGGACGCCTCTCTGCCCACTCTGTGGGCTGCTTCTCGGCTCTGGATTTCACTCTACTCTTGGGTCAAAAGGTAGAACTAATCCCCTTCTGGCCCCAAATGGCTGTCGAAGAACTTCTGCCCGCGACAACCCGGAGTCGAGGTGCACTGCGCCCATCTCACAGAAGAGGAAACTGAGGCTCAGGGGGGCAGAGGTGTGGGGCCTGGCAGCCGGGGCCCCGCACGCGGCTCTCACCTCCGTCTGCACCATGGCCGGCCTCTGGGTCCGCAGCATCTTCACGGTCTGGAAGATGTCCACCACGCCCTCGTACCGCATGCGCTCCAGCACGATGCTGAGCGTGATGAAGACGCCCGTCCTGCCCACGCCGGCACTGTTGGGGGCGAGCACAGCCGTTCAGGGCTGGGTGCTCCGGACAGCCCCCTGTGACTGCCCGACTCCTCAGGCACAAAGAGAGCCCAAACTCGGCGAGCCTGGGGAAGGCTCGAGGCTGTGCTCGCTGGGCCTCAGTTGCCCCAGCTGGGCTTGAGGGACAGCTCACCTGCAGTGGACGGAGATGGGGCCGTCCTGGCCAAACTGTTCCTTGGTCTTGTGCACTTGGCCGATGAAGTCAATGAAGCCCTCCCCTGACTTTGGCACGCCCTGTTCCGGCCAGTCCGTGAACTGGAACTGCCGGACCGTCCGGGACTGGCCATCCTGGAACGAGACCAGTGGCGGTCATGGCTGGCTTCCCGCCCGGGCCGGCCTCCCGTCCCATCTTCCGTCTCCAGCCAACACCACCCTCCAGCGTTCCCCGTCCTCAGCCCCGTTTCCTGCCACCTGCCCTGGGGACTCGCTGTCTGTCAGCATCTAAGGGTGCCAACGCCACGCTCCTCCCCATCCACATGTCCGGTGCCATCCGCTGCGGCCAAAGTGACATCCAACACCACCGTTGGCCACCATCCCGCGGGGCACCCGACACCTGCCCTTCTCAGTGCCATTCTCTGCCGCCATGCTCCTGCATCCTCCTCCACGCTACCATCCGGAGCTCCACGCCATTCCATCACCTTCCACCCTTCACCACCCAACACCGCGCTGTCGTCCACTGTCCACCCATTACTCACTCTCGTCTGTCACTTAAAAAGCACCAACCGACACCATCATCCCGCCTCTCACCACCCACGGCCGGTAACTAATCCGTGGCCACCACCACCCACCTTCCACGGACCTCCTCCATCCTTCCCTCACCCTCTGGGTTCCCAGTCATGCTCTCTCCACCCAAACGGTGCCATCCAGCGATACCCCCTCACCCTGACGGCCTCCATTCCCGCCTTTCTCGGTCTGGTACCATCAACAGCACGAGGAGCATTGGTCAACGAACGCTCGTCATTCTCTGCTACCCAAAGTCATTTTCCACGGATTTTCTCACCCGCCACGGGCCAAACGCTTGCCCTTCTCCCAGCTCCTCTTCCCCTGCCCGGGGCTGAGAACACCTCCCCCTTTGCCGACCTGGGGGACCACGTTCTGCGGGCATTCTCCACCCTCTGTCACCTGCATTCACTCTCCAATCTGCCTGCCTCCAACCCGACACTGTCCATGCTGGTCTCCCTCCACCACGTCCACCAGCACCATCCACGGATTCTCCAGTGCCACGTCCGACCAATCCAACGGCACCGTCTTGCACGAGCCAAGCGCCAGGACCAGCCACGCTGGTGCTCATCGGGCTTCGCCACCCACTGGCAACGTCGTGACTGACCCGCCCCCTCTCCCGCCTCAGAGTGATCCTTTGTCTTCCCACTGGGCCACCTGCCACTGCCAGTCTCCACCAGCTGCCGGCAGATCACCCCCTTCTCCACAGAATCCTCACCTGCCAACACCGCCTACCCTTCGTTCCCCTCTCCCCGCTACGTGCTGCGACCCAATCCCGCTATTCAAGACCCTCTTCCGGGCGCCTGGGTGGCTCAGATGGTTAAGCGTCTGCCTTCGGCTCAGGTCATGATCCCAGGGTCCTGGGATCGAGCCCCGCATCGGGCTCCCTGCTCCTTGGGAGCCTGCTTCTCTCTCTCTCTCTCTCTCTCTGTCTCTCATGAATAAATAAATAAAAACTTAAAAAAAAAAAAAAAAAAAAAGACCCTCTTCCAGCCCACGGCTCCGTGGCCCAGCCCCTGCACCCTGTCATGTCTCCCCCACCCCGCTTGCAGCGCTGCCACGCTGTCCTCCATAGGGAACACCCCGCTCACGCCCTCTTACACCATCCCCTTGGACCTTGCTCCCTAGTGAGGGGTGCTGCACATGCTCCCGGGGGGACGCTGTGGGATCAGCACCGGGACGCAGCGCTCTCTCCCACCTGTTTGGTGCTGGAGGGATTGGTCCACTTGGACAACCCAACCCCCAGTGCTTATTCCTACCCCCGGGTCTTTGCTTCTACCCCCAACTAGGGAAGCCCTGTCCAGATCATGAGGTTCTGAGCAGCAGGACCAGGATTCCAGAATCTCCCAGCGATCCCTCCCCACACTCACCCGGGCGTCCGTGACCTTGAACTCCCGCAGGATATACTGAGGCATGTTGTATTCCGCCATCGGATCCACCACAAAGTACTGGTAGCGGGCGGAGCGCTCAGCTGGCCAGTACTGGTGACATTTTTCCTGTGGAGGAGACGGCAACTGCAGTCAGCCTGGCCTGAGTCCCGACCCCCGCCCTGGTCTGTGGCTCACCGGCCCCCCACCCCTGGCCCGTGGCTCACTGGCCCCCC